TGGTGGGTGGTGGTGGTGGTGGTGGTGGTGGTGGTGGTGGTGGTGGTGGTGGTGGTGGTGGTGGTAATGGTGGTGGGTGGTGGTGTGGGTGGTGGTTGTGGTGGTGGTGGTGGTGGTGGTGGATTGTCGTGGTGCTGGCGCTGGTGCTGGTGCTGGTGGTGGCGGTGGTGGTTGTGGTGGTGGTGGTGGTGTATAATCCCACCAGCCCTCTGAGCGTCAGTGGTTTAGGGCGTTTCATCTTCCAACCCTCCCTTTTCCCCTTCGCGGAAGGGTTTATCACTGTTCCCTATTAATAAACACCCCCTCCCCCAGGCGACTGGGGGCCAACCCGAGCCCATGCCGACATCCCCCCACAATCCCTTGTAAAAAAAACAATACAAAACACACTCTGCCTCCAAATTCGGAACATGCGCCGCCAACCCGATGCGGCCCCCCCCCACACCATCCCTGTCAAAAAACGATACAGAGTACACTTGGCGGCTGCGGCGGCGGCGGCGGCTGCGGCGGCGGCGGCGGCGGCTGGCTGGCGGGCGCCGGCGCGGCGGGCGGGCGGCGGCGGCGGCGGGGGCTTAGGGGGCGGCGGCGGGGGCCGGCGGCGGCGGCGGCTTGCGGCGGCGCGGGGGCGGCGGTGGCGGAGCGGCTGCGGGCTGCGGCGGAGTTATGGCAGGGGCGGCGCGCGGCGGCGGCGGCGGCGGCGGATGCGGCGGCGGCGGCGGCGGCGGCGGCGGCGGGCGGCGGCGGCGGCGGCGGCGGCGGCGGCGGCGGCGGCGGAGGCAGCGGCGGCGGCGGCGGATTGGCCCCAGTACCTGCCCATCCCAAGACGACTGCTGAATATGCTGAGGCTCGGGCCGGACTCGGGTGCTACGTATGTGTTGGGAGGGCGGGTGGGAGTGAGCGAGACGGCTTGCGGGCGGGGAGGGGGTGCCTTGACCCCTCCCCCTACCCCATCCCCTGGACCTGGACGGGGGGGGGGCCGCTGGTAGTGAGAGCGTCCAAAACGGCCTCGGCGAGGAAGCCAAAATCATTGATGTTACTAGGGTTTTGGCCCCATGTTGGCCCCTTGGGGGGGACCTTAATTGAGGGACCTCCCTTCGTTGACCGATCTCCTCCAAGATGGTCCCGAGAAGCGCCCAGGAGACCCCAAGAGGTCCCAAGATGGCCCCAAGATGGCCCCGCGAGGCCCCCAAGAGGCCCCCATGAAGACCTTAAGCGGCCCCAAGAGGCCGCCCCCGAGGCACCCAAGACCCCGAAGAACCCCCCAGGATCGCCAAGAGACCCCCAAGACGTCCCGAGAGGCCACCAAGAATCGCCCAAGAGATACTCCAAGAGGCTCCGAGAGGCGTCCAAAAGACCGCTGGCCCTTGTGCTTGCCCTCCTCCTCCTCTTCTCTCTCTCTCTCTCTCTTTCTCTCTCTCTCTCTCTCTCTCTCTCTCTCTCTCGAACTGATGACATGTGGTTCAAAGCTGCCAATCCTAAGGAAGAAAACAGTGCACGTGCAGAGGAAGAGAGATTTTCCCCCATCAGGCTCATCCCCCACATGATGGGCGGTCGTGCCCAAGTACGGGTCACGCCCCGTGCCCCCCCCCCGACATCTTGTGATAGACGGCGGCAACGATGGCGGTGCAAAAGAGAAGAGGCACATCCCCCGTCCACTCATCCACATCCGCGCTGCTGCCGAAGGGAGGCAGCGAAAGAGCAGTGCTGGCAAGAATCGTTTGCACACGGTCGGGGCTCCACCTGCGGGGCAAGGGGCAATGGGTCGTATAACTTTCCCTGTGCAAGCTGGCCCATCGCACAGGTTCCTCATCCCAGGGGTCGGGATATCCAACAATTCCTTTCGGGCTGGTGAGAACCATCGGGATCTGGGCCTCCGCGGCAGCATGAAACAGGACAGTCGACATACGCCACAGAGCGTTAGCTTCCGCCACTTGCTTGTATTCAGCCTCACTGAGGGTACCCAGGCCCAAGGGGGAGGAGACAGAGCGTAAGGGGGGGGAGGCTCGATCCCCCATCATATCCACTGCGAGCGGGGTTCCAAGTCTTGTCAGGGGGGTAACTTAAGACCGCAACAACCGGCCCGTCAAGGATCCGCCTAGCCCACAGTTGGATCTCGCCCTCTTGCGAGCTTCTGACACGGACAATCTGCACCTGACTCCCCAGGAGGTTCTGCTGAATACGAACCTGTTGCTCGAGAAAGGAATCCTCCTTATCCTCCTCCTCCTCCTCCTCCTCCTCCTCCTCCTCCTCCTCCTCCTCCTCCTCCTGTTCCTCCTTCCTGCTCCTACTCCTTCTCTTCCTCCTCCTCCTCCTCCTCCTCTTCCTCCTCCTCCTCCTCCGCCTCCTCCTCATCCTATTCATCCTCCTTCTTCCCACTCCCTCATCCATCCATCCACCTCATCCTTCTCCTCCTCACTCCTTTGCACGCTTCGGCCGTCCTCCTCCTTGCTGCCGCACTTCCCTGATCACCTCAACCCGCCCGGACATCGTTTCTGGACGGGCTGCTGGGGATGCGCGAAGCGCCTAGAATGCTGGGTCCCGTATCCCAGGTCGACGGGCGGGGATGGCATCGTGAGAGCACATGCAGGACTCTTCCAGGGGCAGCAGGGGGAGGGCCCGACGGAGGCCTCGGCCACCGGCAGTGGGGTGATCTGCAGACGGGGGGAGCGGTCTCAGGACGTGCCATCGCTCGGACGTCCGTGTCCTGTGCCTTTGTCGGTGTCGTGCGTGTTTTTTGTTTTGCTCGATGGTCCAGGATGGTCCTCGATGGCTCTCGCCGAGAAAAAAATATCCCGGCAAAGCAACCTAACAGCGATGTGTAGAAGCATATCTGAAAGCATCCCCCTCAAGATTCAGATGAAAATCCAGTTGTAGAATTCTGCTGTTCTCGCAGTCGTAGTCGCATTCGCGATGACAGTCGCAGCGGCAACGGCAGTCGCAGTCACAGCCTCAGCCTCAGCCTGCCTCAGCCTCAGCCTCAGCCTGCCTCAGCCTCAGCCTGCCTCAGCCTCAGCCTCAGCCTGCTTCAGCCTCAGCCTCAGTCTGCCTTCTGCCTCGCCTCAGCCTCAGGCTGCCTCAGCCTCGGCCTGCATCAGCCTCAGCCTCAGCCTCAGCCTGCCTCAGCATCAGCCTGCCTCGCCGGCTAGCATCAGCTGTGCCTCAGGTTCAAATGTGGCCCAGGAATGAGAGTTCTGGGAAGTCGAAGAGCACGAAGTTGCCTACAGTTGGCTACGGGCATTCAAAATGTGGCCCGGGAATGGAGTTCTGGGAACTCGAAGAGCACGAAGTGGCCTACAGTTGGCTCCGGGCATTCAAAATGTGGCCCGGGAATGGAGTTCTGGGAAGTCGAAGAGCACGAAGTGGCCTACAGTTGGCTCCGGGCATCCAAAATGTGGCCCGGGAGTGGAGTTCTGGGAGCACCAAGAGCGATTTTGCGAGGATGTCCCCAGCGATTTCGGCTTCGGCGGCAGCCTTTCCGGGTCCCGCCCAGACCCCCCTGAGTCGGGGATGGACAGACCCCCCTTTAGTAAAACGTGGTTTAGTGAAAACGACCTGAGGCCCAAACCTGGCGGTCGCAGGCCTGGAAAATAACGGCCACGGCGCCCTCTCGAGAACCGAAAACGGACAATTCACTAATCGACGTGTCACTGTTGGGGGTTCTGTCCACCCCCGACTGAGGAGTCACGATGCTCTCTTTTGAGACCACTAGAAGCCTATCAGCAAGAGCTGCTAGGTGAAAATGCACACGTCCGAGCGATGCCAAGCAGACCACGAGCGAGGGGCGGAGGGGCGAGGGGAGAGGGTGCGTCTTGGGGGGGGGCCCGAGCCACCGAGCGAGGGGCTCGTTCCCAGCGGGCGCGAAGGTTGAGCGAGCAACGACATATGTACATGTACGCCCTCCGCGATCTTGAGTGCACGAACGTCCTCGTTCAAATGCCCTCCAGGGGAAGCTAACCGCGTACATGTACATATGTTGCTGGCCTCTGAAAGGTGAAAGGTGCCCATCCCGAGTGAGACAGGCGAGCCACTCGCAGGTCTTGCGCGCAGTGCCAGGGTCCACTGCCAACGCCGGCCTCTTCCACGGCGGCCTGCACTCGAAAACGACGCGCCGGCATCTCGCGCAGACCGTGGTCAGGACCCGCATGCCGCCTCGATGTGAGTGCCCCCCGCTGAAGGCGAGCGGCGGGAGGGGAGGGACAGGGAGAAAGCAAAGGAGCACCTCCCAGCGCATGGACTGCAGCCAGCCCGCCCGCGTCAATCCAACGGCTGAAAGCGAAGCACCAGCGATGCATAGTGTGAATGCTTGCCGCTGATGGCGGTCGGCGGCAGGGGGAGGGAGGAAACTGTGGGCACGATGCGTCCATGCATTGCACCATGCCAGCTGCTGGCACTCGCGTGCCTCGAGGCAGCTAGCGCGACAGAGCATCTGATCCAACGCCCCATCGCGGCGACCGAACCTTCTAATTACGGCAGCACGAGCGCCAGACGGGAAGACGAGCCTGCCTCCTCCCGCGCGCCCGAACTGCTGTCCAGCCGAACTCCCGCGGATCAGCCCTCCTTCTGCAGCTTGGCGCCGTGTGGGCGCTTCCAAATGCCAGCGTGGCCTCCGCCAGCACTGGCCAAGCAGCCGAGCCCATCGCCCAGGGACCGCTCCTCCGGGGCGCCGGGGGCAGCGGAACGGCCCCCCCGCCTGCGCCCGCGCCCGCGCGAGCCGCGGCGCGCACGTCCTGCTCGGCCAGGCAGGCGAGACCCCTCCCTGCGGCTCCCCCGCTCCACTGGCGTTAGGTCGGGCATGTTCCCCTGCAGGCGGAGCTTGAAGGAAAAAAGAAAAATAGTCAAGACATACGCAAAATATACAAAAAAAAAAAAACACTCCCTAAAAAGAGAGTACCCAGACTGTTGTTCGACTATGTTCGACTATGTTTGAACTATGCTTGAAGGAAAAAAGAAAAATAGTCAAGACATACGCAAAAGATACAACAACAAAAAATTACACCCCAAAAAAAGAGAGTACCCAGACTATTGTTGGACTATGTTTGGAACATTCCCGTCCGTAGAGGGACGCGCCCGACCTCACACTGGCGGCGCGGCAACCACCGTGGGCCTGGCCGCAGCCACCGGGAAGGCGGCCGGCGCAGCCGACGTTGCCGCCGCAGCCGCGCCGCGCGCCTCGCGATCTCCTCCGACCCCAGACCCCCGACGTCGTGATTTTTTCACAACGTGGACCCCCAGAGGTCTGGACCCCTTCCCCGGGACCGGTTGTTCATCCCGAGTCATTTTTTGACGGTCCCGAGGCCCGGCGACGGCCCCCGGAGGCCGAAACTACCGAACAACCTCCCGTCGTGATTGTTGTCACGGCTCGAGAGGGTCTGGGACGGCTGCCACGAACGCGCCCGCGGCCCGACGGCGAAGGAGCGGCCGGGCCGAGCAGCGGCCGAAGGAGCGGTCACCGCCGGAGGTCGTAGAGCCAGGTGCGCGCGGTGGGCAGGGGCGGGGCGCGCAGGCCCTCGCCCGCGTAGGAGCGCAGGAGCCACTCCTGGGCCTGCCGCCTCGGAGGGGCCCCGGGACACACAAATGAGTACACACAGGTAAAAGGATTCCCCATATGTTCCCATATTTTCTGGCTGGGTTTTTGTTTCCCCCCACTTCCCATATTGTCTCATATTTTCCTGGGAATCGACGATTAAGTGTGTCTGTGGGTTTTTGTCCCTCCTGACTTTGGCCGATCCCCATCCATGCTGGCATGGCCTTGGTCCCAAGGCAAGACAAGAGCCCGCGTCGAGGCACCCATCTTTTCCCATATTTTCTGTGTTTTTGTCTTCCCGCCCAATTCCCATATTTCCCCATCTTTTCTTGGGGATCGACGATGAATTATGTCTGTGCGTTTTTTTTCGGCACACCCTCCCCTTTTCCCTTTTTCCCGGGCCCTCCCCCTTTTTTCCCTTTTCCCCCCCCCTCCCCCCTTTTCCCCCCTTCCCCCTGGGGTGGCGTTAAGACCGGGCCGTACTCCTCGCGCCCGCGGGCGCGCCCAGCTGGTGCTCAACGCGCAGCGCCCACACCCAGCCCTTGGCGCCCGACGTGCCCGACACACGGGCGAACTCCGCCTGGGGGCGACTGGGCGACCCTAACCCTACCCCCCACGATTTTCATGAGGGCGGGGGGGGGGGGGGGGGTCACTCCGCTCGGGAGCTCCCGAAGGAAGTGAACCCCGCCCTCCCCCTCAGACATCGTGGGGGGTAGGGGTAGGGTTCGCATGTGGCCCCCTATCCGCCTCCACCGCGCTGCCTGGGGGCACGGGCTCCCGGAAGAAGAAGAGCGTGTGGTGCCAGTGCGTCCGGGCGGCGCCGGGCGCGGTGCTGAGGACCGACGCCTGGCGCGCACCGGGGCGTCCGGGCGGAGGCTGCCCGCTGCGCCGCCTCTTCGAGGCGGCCGGCTCCCCGGGCTCTGCGGCGCCGCGCTCGAAGCGGGCGTGGAAGGCGCTCGCGAGCAGCTCGGCCAGCGCGGCGCCTTCCGCCGCGGAGGCCCGCTCGCAGGGCGGCGCGGGGGCGGAGGCGTCGAAGTGGCAATCGAACCAGCCGGCGTAGCCGTGCGCCGTGGCCCCAGGAGGACAGAACCAGGACGCCCTCGCCTGGATCCGCAGCGGCGAGGCCGCCGGGGCGGGGCCGCGGAAGTCGTGGCGCCACAGCAGGATCGGCTCCCCGACCAGCTGCTCGAAGTCGAGGCCTTCGATCCGCGGCTCGGCGGCGAACTCCACGAGCACCTCCGGCAGCAGGGCGGACATGTCCACGCCGGACACGTCGGACCAGAAGCGGCGCCGCTCCCCGTGCATCGCGGCGTCCGTGAAGGGCGCAACGTAGAGCTCGACCACCGTGGGGAAGATCGAGCCGCCCTCCTCGAGGAAGCGACCCTTGGCAGCGAGAACCGCCTCCAGCATGTTCTCGTACAGCAGGAAGTAGCCCATCCACTCGGAGACTATCACGTCCACCTTGGAGGGCAGCTCGACGTCCTCCATGCGCCCCGCGAACACCTGGATGTTGGAGGCCTGGAAATGGGCACCAACACCAACTCAGGGGTTTGCCTCCATAGGGGGAAGATGATCCTAGATTTCGGTGTTGGTGGTAATATTTCGGCCACCTTGGAAGCCAGAATATCACCACCATCGCCGAGATCGGGATCTTCTTCCCTCGGTGGAGGCACACCGCCGACATTGGTGTTGGTGTCAATCTCCAGGCCTGCGAGGATGACGTGACCGAGCCCATTGGCTTCCGCGACCTTTCGAGTCATCTCGGCGCAGCAGCCCTCAGCGTCCACCGCGTAGACGGCCGCAGCGCCGGCGCGCGCCGCGAACACCGAGAGGATCCCGGTGCCACAACCGACGTCCAGCACCCGCTTGCCAGCAAAGGCAGCGGCATTTCCCAGGATCGCCGCCTTGTAGGCCTCTGTAGAGGAAGAAAAAACGCCATAAACATAAACTTTTGGCGCTCCGCGCGGATTTCTCGCATCGGCGCTGTACCCCCCCTCCCTGGCGCGCGGAGCGCGCCAGGGGCGGCGCCAGAGGCGCCGCCGGGGGGGCCCAGCGCGGATCCAAGAAATCCGCGCGGAGCGCCAAAAGTTTATGTTTATGTAGTTTGTTTCTTCTTCGACTCTACTCGCACACGGTCCCGCAGCATCTCCTCGTGAATGCCAAGCCAGTCATACCTGCAAACGCCTGCGCCAGCCATGTGGGCCCCGTCTCCAGCTCCGAAAGCGCAAGCGCGATGCCCGCCCCAGGGGGCAGCCCAGCGTTGTGTGCACGGCCAGAGCCGGGGGAGGCACACCCTGCACTTCTTGAGCCAAGGCTATAGGGGCCCCGACTTGATGACCTGTTCCCAGACACGATCGCGTCGTAAAAAAATCGGATCGGGATTTTTGTTGGGCAAATTTCGCCTCGGGGGGCCCTCGCCGGGCCTCGGGACCGTCAAAAAACGACTCAGGATGAAAAACCAGTCACGTGGAAAGGGTCGGGACTTCCAGGGACCTCGTATTGAAAAAATCAGGACGGGTGGGGGAAAAAGGGGACATGATAACCTTGAGTAGGGTCAGGGTGATGATCTGTAAGGAGGAGCAGAACGGGAGAGGGTGGAGGAGGAGGAGGACGAGGCGGGGGAAGCAGAGGAGGAATCGGGGAGGATCCAGGAGAAGATCCAGGAGGAGGAGGAGGAGGAGGAGGAACCCAGCGCACCTCGCATTCGCTGTCCCCCTTTCCAAAACCCCCACTGCTCGCTGGCCCGGCTGGTTGAGAACTGCGCTCGGGCTTGCGGCCGCATGGGGGCGGGGCTTGCTGGAAGGCTGTCGCCGTTGCTCCTCGTCCCCCTCCTCGCAATGGAGGAAAAGGGGTCCTGAGAGAAGTGGGTCCTGGATGTGTGTTGGTCGTCTCCGGGCTTCTGGGGCTCTCCCAGGGCCGCGGGGCCGTCAAAAACCGACGCAGGACGAACAAGCTGGTCTTTGGGAAACACCTTTTGGGTTTGGACCTTTTCCCCTCGGGAGCCATTTCCTCCATGCTAATCCACCTCTTCATGTTGCCCCCCTGAATCTCTCCCCGCCCCCAGTAGTAAATCCGCCTGCTCGCTATCCGCTCAGAAGGCTTCTCTGGAGAGCTGGCGCAGATGAGCCCTTACGGTAGAGACCCATGTCAAGAAACACCCTGCATGTCTCCATCGAGCCCTGCGTTTCCTGGGCTTCGATGGTTCTGCGATGGGGAGCGTGACGTTCCCACGCCAAGGACCGGTGCACATCCTGGGGTCTCAGGGGTTGGGCTTCTTGTGGAGAGCTTCTTGCGGTCGGGGCTCTACTGTGCACACCCGCGTCTCAATGGAGCGCACTTCTTAGGGGAACAGAAAGTCACATAAACATAAAAACTCGGAGGTCCGCGCGGACTTCTCGGATCGGCGCTGGACCCCCCTCCCTGGCGCGCGGAGCGCGCCAGGGGCGGCGCCGGAGGCGCCGCCAGGGGGCCCCAGCGCCGATCCGAGAAATCCGCGCGGACCTCCGAGTCTTTATGTTTATGCCATGTTTCGTCTCATTATCACCCGCGCCTCAATCGAGCGCCCTTCTGACTACCTACCAGACCACCCCAACCCAACCCGAAGACCCGAACTTGACCCGAATTTCGGGTTGGGGGGGGGTACGGGTTCCATACGTGTTTTTGTTCGACGTTTCCCGACCCCCCCACCCCACTGGAAATGGAAAGCAAATTGAAGCCTTCGGGTTGGGTTGAGGTGGTTTGGTGGGTGGCGACCTTCTGGATGGCCTGCCGCCTCTCTGGGGGGAGGGGGCAGGGAGGACGGGCCAAATGCGGCCCCCACGCTGTCCACATGCAGGAAGAGCTGACTTCAGTGTCGCCGCCCCAAGGCTCCCACGAGCAGACCTCGAACGCCTGTCGCCTCCCTGGGGGGGGGGCAGCGCCGCCAGGGCCGAGCGCGGCGCCATCCTCCCTCCGGCCAGGGCGACGGCCGGCGGCGCAGCCAAAGGATCGGGGGGGGGGGCGGGCGAGGGCGGCGGCCTCCGCCGCCGGGCGCGGCGCGGGGCCGCCCCTGCTGCGGAGGGGGCCTCCCCCCTGGAGGCCTGCAGGAGGGCCCCTCTTGCAGGGACAGCGACAGGAGGGGGGGGGGGGGCGAGGGCGGCGGCCGCCGCCTCCGAGCGCGTGGCGCGGGGCCACCCCTGGCTGCGGAGGGGGTCTCCCCCGGAGGCCTGCAGGAGGGCCCCTCTTGCAGGGGCAGCCAAAGGGGGGTGGGGGGCGAGGGCGACGGCCTCTCCGCCTCCGAGCGCGTGGCGCGGGGCCTCCCCCTGCTGCGGAGGGGGTCTCCCCCTGGAGGCCTGCAGGAGGGCTCCTCTAGGAGGGGCAGCGACAGGGGGGGGGGGATAGGCAGAGGCGGGGAAGCATTGTGTCCTGGAATCGGCGATGCATCGCCGATGGGTCGGCGAGAGGCCCCCGAGAACGAATCCGCACCTTCCTGGACAGGTCGGGGCTCTCGGCCCCCCGTCGGCGATCAATGGGCTAGAGGGGGGCGATGCATCCCCCCCTATGTCCATCCCCCCCTATCGTTGCCCCTCATTCTTGGCGAGCGTCCAGAACACGAGCAACATGTGATGGATCTGGACCGCCGTGTTCACAGAGTGGTAATCATCGTATGACTGGAGAGTTCCAAAATGGGAGTGTTAGGGGAGGGGGTTTTCCAGAGAGGGGTCCCCCAGGGGCGTCAGAGCCTCGTCAAAACAGGGGGTGCGAAGCCCCTGGGGGACCCCTCCTGGAAAAACCCCTCCAAAAAAAAACCTTTGGAACCTTCTGGTATGAGCGGGCATACGTCTTCCCGTCGAGGGCTTGTAAGAGGGCTTCTTTTTTGGAGGGCGGGCGAGCCTTCAAGCAAACAAAAAAAACTCCCTTCGGCCGTTGTGTCGAGGGGAAGGCTTTTACCCAAGGGCTTGCCCACTTTTCGCCAATCGACCTGTAGGGATCGAGCCAGATGAACCCAGGAAGATGCCAAGAAGTCGAGATAAAGCCAGGCAGATTCAGGCAAGTCGAGATTTACTTCCTGGCAAATCCAGGTACATCCAGAGACCTCCAAGGAGAGTTGGAGCAACTCACGGCCGCTCCAGCGCGAGTCGACGGACGGCAGACAGCACAACAGCGGTTGCCCAAACACGCACCCGCTGTGGCCACCGCTCGCCTGCCCAAATTCACGCCCACCCATGGCGCAGTTTTGTTGCCGCGTGCCCCGCTCGGAAACGCACGCGGGATTCTCGATCACCCACGGGCGCACATCCTTTACCGCTGGGCGTACCGCCAAGCAGGTACGCGTTTTTGGCTGACCCTCTGCACCCCCGCGGCTTGTTCTGCTGCGCCATGTCGACACGCCGGGTTCACCTTGACCTTTGCCCCTGGCTTCGCATGCCCAGTTAACGCGGCCCTAACTGCCGCACTTGCAGCACTTCAGTTTGCCTCTCCCTTCCCCAGCCCAGTCATGCTTTGCAGCTTAATATTCGCCAGTTGCATGCATCATCGCCCGCTGGCCACTAGCGACCCTCATCGCCAGGCCCCCCCTGGCATCCACCCATGTAGGTGCCCTATGCCCATGGCACCGCAATTATTGGCGTTTGAATATGACCGCTTCTTGCGAACCCGATCCTCGCACCTGAGGTGCAATTGCTGCATGGCCCAGCGGTGCGCAAATCGGTTGTCTTGATGCAGCCCCGATGTCGGTCACCAAACCAATCTCCTGCGCGCGACGCGATAATCTTCAGCGCCGTTATATGCAAGGGGAGAGGCAGCTCATATGAGTCGCCATACTTTCTCAATTTCTGCACGAGCGCGCTCCACTCCTCTCAGGTTGCACTCGCGCGTCACTCACCTTCTCGGGCCTCTCGGGGTTCATGGCTCGGCTCAACTTGGCTGATATGGTCACCCCGACAACCGCAGGGCGCCGCTTGCATCTTCCCATGCAGGCGATTACGCGTCGATGTCTCTGCGGCCGTGCAGTTTACCTCGTGCTTCGATACCCTCCAGAGTTGATGTGCTTACGCTCCACAAGTCTTCATCCAGTTTACTTGCTTCGTCATTGCCCACGGTGTCCTCTTCCTCCCTTTGGCCCTCTTCTATTTGATGTCCTCATCTCTTTGAATTCCTAAGCTAGTTATGGCATGCTCCGCTGCTGTCTGTCGTCCACTCAGCATTCATATAGTAACTCATTCCTCGCTGGGATCGGGAACCGTTCCATCCAGTGTTTCACATATTGTATGTGATGTATTGCGCGCCACCAGTGCATGGAGTGGTAGCTCGCTCCACTCACAGAACTTTGCTCTTTCCGATGAAGTTTGTTTGCGACTGGATGGCTTTGGATTCGTTCATGGGTCTTTGTGGTGTCTTGCCCACGCCCGATCCGACTTTATCGGCTATCTGCGCAAGTACCGCATTCGTGCTGATTTGTTCCTCGAATACTTTTCCAATTCTGCCGCTCTCTGCCGCATAATTGCAGTTTCTATTTCGCGTTATGGTTATGCTCAGCAGCGTTGCGTGTTCACCAGATGGCTTTTGGTGGCCTCTGCGTTCTGGCTCGCGCAAGTAACTCGCCATTGCACGGCGATTAGCCTGAAGGTCCGCTTTGACGAACTCGTAGTCGCCTTGTTGGTGAGCCGTTACGAGGTTGACCCGGAAATTGGCGAGGTTGTACCCGATCCACTCCTGTCTCGTATTAGGCACAATCATGGCACTGCTTGAATGAACGGTCAATTGAAAACGACGGGGATTTGTTGGCCACGGCGAACATCGGCCGCGATCCGGGTCACGGCCCAAAAACCTGAGCCCTTCCTGAGCCCAAAATGGTCCTTGTGTCAGCGCCTTGACTGTATTTCGCCTCCCCATCCCGCTGCCACGACATTGCTCAACTACCATGCAAACTTACCAGGACGACGGTAACGGAGATGGAAATCCCTTTTTGTTAAAGCGGACAGGAAAGGAGAACGCATGTACCCTGCACCGCCGCGACGCTGTCAAATCTTGAGCCAAAATGCCAGCGGTTGCACACGAACCTGATGTCCTACATCGACAAGCCTCCTCCTCGTCCTCCTCCTCTCATCCTCATCCTCCTCCTTCTTTACCTCCTCCTCCTCCTCCTCCACCTCCTCCTCCTCCTCCTCCTCCTCCTCCTCCTCCTCCTCCTCCTCCTCCTCCTCCCACTCCTCCTCCATGCTTCTCCAAGAGATCCTCCTACTCTTCCTCCTCCCCCTCTTCTCTCCAAATGCTCCCAGTCCTCATGATCTCCCTCCTCCCAGATCAGCGTCGTCGTCCTCCTCCCTCCCTCCTCT